ACCCACACGTCAAAGTCAACTGCATGCCCCTCAGCATCAAAGGTAAGAACAGTAGGGCTAGCCATAGCGGCAGGAGTAGCAGTGGCAGCAGAAGCAGCAGTAGCAGCAGAAGCAGCGCAGGCAGGGCAGTGCGGCTCAATAGGGCGGCGCGGCTCGGTAGGGCGGCGCGGCTAGGCAGGGCGGCGCAGCTCGGCTGAGCGGCGCGGCTCAGCTGGGCGGCGCGGCTCGGCTGGGCGGCGCGGCTCGGCTTTTGGCGGCGCGGCGCGGCTGGGCGGCGCGGCTCGGCTTGGCGGCAGGGCACGGCAGGGCGGCGTGGGTGCTTACCAGGGGCGGGTGCAGGGTAGGGCCGCAGCGGGCGGTTTAGTTAAGGGCCGCGACTGGGGCGGCAACAGGGCAGGGCCGCGACAGGGCGGCTGCAGGGCAGGGCCGCGACGGGCGGCGAAGGCAGGGCCGCGACTGGGGCGGCAGCAGGGCAGGGCCGCGACAGGGCGGCGAAGGCAGGGCCGCGACGAGCGGCGACGGGCCAGCTACGGGCGGAGACGGGCTGGCGACGGGCGGCAACAGGCTGGGACGGGCGGCGAAAGGCAAGGCCGCGACAGGGCGGCTGCAGGGCAGGGCCGCAGTGGGCGGCGAAGGCAGGGCCGCGACGAGCGGCGACGGGCCAGCGATGGGCGGCGACGGGCCGGGACGGACCGGGACGTGCCAGCGACGGGCGGCGAAAAGCAGGGCCGCGACGGGCCAGCGAAGGCAGGGCCGCGACGGGCCGTACTAGGGCAGGGCGCGCGATGGCGCAGGTGAGGCAGGCGCGAGGCGCGCTTCGGGCTGGGCAGGAAAAAAAAAATCGTGGTGGGCCCTAAAAAAACGTTCCCACTAGGGAACCTGCTCAGAATACCATGTCAGAATAGGGAAGGAATGAATGACTGAACTAGAAAGCAGATGGGTACAAGTAGGAAACCTAAAAGTGTTGTACCCTATACTAACTACCCCACTACAGCCTAAACAGACTATAGCATATAAGTTTGACAGAGATATCCGGCTTCAGCCCTCCGACGTAACGGTCCACCCGTTCCGCCTCGTGCATGTAGCCGACCTGTTCGCATAATGCGAGAAAACCGCTTGTATAATCTTGAACCGACCTGAGCTGTCGCCAAGTGCGCAGTCTCTGACGCGCCGAAATAGAAGTCGCGATCGGCTCGAAGCGCGTCCAAAGCCCTGCGCACCACGCGTCCCACGTGCTGTACTGGGTTGTTTCGCAAAATGAACTCCAGGTGACGGCTGGTCCCACGGGCCCGTCCTCTTGCGACGGCGGCTCGTAGGCGCGTGGCGACGTCACAATGACTCGCCACCAATCCATGGCGGGGCCCCGTAACAGTGAAACCGCGTATCTGATCTTCGCTGCGTCCGACGTGACGTAATTGGCGTCAAAAAATACGTTCATCGTGAAGATTCACGATTGAACCGTCAGACCTCTGCGTTGGCTAGGTGTCAGAATGTTATAATTGTCTAGCCTGCAGTGGGGTACTCTATAGTGAGTACAGCCCAATTAGGGTTTGCTATATGTATCCAACTGCTTGCTAGTGAACCTCCTCCTTTCTTCATTCTTACTTTCTACTGCTAATTCTGACATGCTATCAGAGCAGGTCGATCCCCTTGGGTCGATCCTGTGGGTGGGCCCACCACCTCACTGCTTCCGCTGCTACTGCTACTCTGTGTGTTGCACGCCCCGTGGCGTGCGACGGATTTTTCATCCCGCCGCGCGCTCGGAGCGTGCGGCGGTTTTCTGCCCGCCGTGCGCCCCGAGGCGCGCGGCGGTTTTCTGCCCGCCGTGCGCCCCGAGGCGCGCGGCGGTTTTCTGCCCGCCGTGCGCCCCGAGGCGCGCGGCGGCTTTCTGCCCCGTCACTCCGCGCGTCGCTCCCGGGAGGCGCTGCGACGGGCGACGGGGACCCGCGCGTCGCCCCCCGTCGCCCGTCGCGGCCTGCGCGACCTGCGTAGGGCCCGCGCGCGGCCCGTACAGCCTGCGCACGGCCCGTACGGGCTGCGCCAGGCCCACGCGCGGCCCGTACGGGCTGCGCCAGGCCCGCGCGCGGCCCGTACGGACTGCGCCAGGCCAGGGCGCGCCTCGGGCCGCCCGCACGCGGTTCGTACGGGCTGCGCCAGGCCCGTGGGCGCCCTGTTTTCTCTGCCCCTGCGCTGCCCGCTGTCCCCCGTGCTTCTGACGGCGCCCCACCCCTGCTGCTGCCCGTTCTCCTGAATTAGGGTTTGGGGGTGGGGGGTATGGGGTGCAGTTTCTGTGCGTCGTCCCCTGCTCCTCCTCCTCCGTCTCCCAGTGCTGCAGCTGCCGCTGAGGGGGGTGGGTGTGTGGGAGCCGAAGGAGTGGTACTAGGGGGGTGACGTGCAAGTGGAGTTAGGAGTGAAGCAGTGGGTGTGTGGGGGGTGTGTGGGACAGTTGGAGGAGGTTGAGCGGAGGCTGCTGTCTTGTCGTCCGCAGCACCTGTAATCCGGGGCGCACTGTCCTGGTAGCCCAGAGAGCCTGCTGCGCCTGTCGCCCGAGGGTCCGTTGCTCCTGTAGCTCCTCGTAGCCCGTGAGCCAGTTACTCCAGTAGTCCGGGGCGCACTGTCCCGGTAGCCACTGTGCCAGCAGCTCCTGTTGCCCGTGTGTCTGCAGCTTCAGCCGCCGTCTCTCATCTTCTCTCCTCTCACAGTCCCTCCTCCTCCTCACTTGCCCGCTGTGACTACCACTAGCTTTGCTTATAATTGTGAACTATTACTATGCTTGCTTGTTGTGCTGATTACACCCCACTTTGGCTATGGGGGTGTGTCAGAATGTTATAATTGTCTAGCCTGCAGTGGGGTACTCTATAGTAAGTACAGCCCAATTAGGGTTTGCTATATGTATCCAACTGCTTGCTAGTGAACCTCCTACTGCTAATTAGGGTTTTCATTCTTACTTTCTACTGCTAATTCTGACACTAGGATCGTAGCAAAGCGGGCGCTGCGGCTTGAGTGGCATTGGTGCGCCGATGTCGTCGTTGCCGACCGTTGTCGAAAATTCGACGTGACGACGGGCTTCGCGAGGCCCATTCGTGCTTGGTGCGGCCCTGTTTCTCTCCATGTCAGGCATTGACTGGACGGCGCCATCATTGGCTGCGCCTGAGCATTGTCCCACACTGTCGTGCTATGGTGGTCTGCCGAATGAAATAACAATCGGCTCATCCGATTGCGCAGGTGCATTTGCAGGTGCTGGTGCAGATGCGTTCGCTGTCTTTTGCTGGCGGGCGGAGCCGCGTTCCGCCGTGAGCGTCGCAATCTCGAGCGTCGAATCCTCCAGTTGGCACACGAGACGGTCGAGTTGCTCCTGCGTCAATGTGGCGATGTTGAATTCGGCCATGGCGGGGGTGTCGGGCAAACTCAGCGAGAGCCTATGTCGTGGCCGTGCGTGCTTACGAGAGAGCACTTCGAGCGGCGGTGCTTGTTCACTGAGAGACGTCTACCCCCTCCAAAAAATGAGATACTGGGGAAGCGAAGGTGTGGGTGCGGTCCGAGAGGAGATCGTAGGCTCCGAATACCAAGTCAGAATCCCAGCCACAAATCACTGGGAAAAAAGGGCTTGTTTGTGTAACGAGTGAGTGAGCCAATAACGCCCCATATCAACGTGTCTGTAACCCTTCCCTAGGATCAATCGAGGATCTCAAGTGGACCTCTGACACCCCCTTGCGGTGGGATGCCCGAAGTGCACACACTGGATTCGAACCCGAGACCTTCGCTCTGATACCAAGTGTTACGAGTGCAATTGAGCGAGCGAGCGAGAATTGCACTATCGAAGCAAACAGTCCAATAAGTGAAGGCATGAGCGAATAATATATAGCGAACTAGAGTGGTAACGACATCGCGAGAAATTGGGGTGCGCTACGGGCCTAGCGCCGAGGTTGGGAAATGTCGAAGCGGAGGTCCGGAACGCGGGTTACCAACCGAACCGTGAGGTTGGGTCGCATCGTGAATAGTGACGGGAGTCGTAGTCGAGACGAGTGTCGCGAGCAGGTAACATTTCACTGTTGGGTGCCGATGGCGGGAATGGTCTTGTACGCGGTAAGCAGGGGCACGAAGTAAGGAAAATGAAGTTTCCTTACACCAGGTCACACGGAGCCAGGTTCTATATGTGCCGCCGAATTGAAGTTCACTTGAGGTCCGCGCTATAAGCGGCGAGTGGTTGGAAATGGAAACATGCAATCCTAAACATACGTGTACAGAACTGTACAGAGAAACTTCCGTAACTGATGTGAAATGGAGAAAGCGAACACGACATTTGACCACCTCTCGCAACTCATGCTGCTTGTTTCGTGCTGTTCGTTTCGTGCAGCGTAAATTATTCGCATGACGACAAGCTATCCAACTGGGTGGGTCACGTTTCGCTGGCTGTGCCTTCCGTGTTGGACCAATTGCGTCGCTGTCGAAATCGTCAGCCCCCTCCCTCCCTCCCCGTGATCTCCGAAGCTGTGGGAACGTGCGCCGTAGTTTGACTATTATTTGCGCGACATAGATGACCTGCCCCCTCTTTAATCCGCCTCCCCCCCAACTCCTCACTTCAGTGGCGGTTGGCGGAACGCGCCACAGAGTCAGTACAATGCGAATGTAAAATTTATACAAAAAGCCCGCCGCACAACGCAACGCTGGACAAAACGGAAAACACCTGCCCCGCCAGTCGTTTGCATCTGCCCCCCTTCCCGCCTTCGAGATCGCACGCCTGTAGTCCAGCCAGCGCCGCAGGCACAGCCCCTACAGTCCACCCTCTTTCATCTCGTCCAGTCCAGCCACACGAACACTCATGTCTCCCCTTCCCTCCCCCGCACCAACGCTGTCGAAGCCCAAGGCATCCTCGCTGCAGCACTGTTTCTTCGCCCTACAAATCATTGCGCTTTAGGAGCTAGTTCCAGGAGATGCTGGACGTGTGAAGTAAATTTGCAACAGCTTTAGTTTGAGGAGGAGGCTGCGTGGTTAACGAGATGATGACAACTATCTCTCGCGATCCCGACCTGCCGTTCAATCCGGACGACGCGCGGGGTGCCTTCCATCGTAGGAGCGTGTCGCTTGCGACAGCAACCTCGCATTTGCGGGATGCGAACCAAGCTTGGGCGTCGCCCGCCCTGTTCGTTCCCCCACCGCACTCGCCGCTGTCACAGCTCCCGCCTTTGCTAGAAAACTGCGGCAACGACGGAGCCGCGGTGGACGGCGCTGACGCAGCACGGTGGAACGATGGGCCGGGGGAGCAAACGGCCTTCGACGTGGCATTGCCAGAAGCTGTCAACGGCAGGACTAACGGCTACCTTCGGGGCGACGAGTTGGCGGGCTGGCGGCCGCTCGGCCGAACCCGCTCTCAGGCCATCGGGCCGACTCATCAAGCGCAGCGCGCGACTCTCCTGGCGTCGCCGTCGCAGCGCTACGATTCGTCCTCATTCTCGGGAAGCTTGAAGGAGAGGACGAGCGAGCACGCGGCGCGCATCAGAAACATGATGCAGAAAGAACGACTCGATTTCTCGGAAGCACCGTCGAACGCGCAGCCCGCGACTGTAAAAGTCAACTCCGATGACCCGCTTGCGCTTGCGGAAGGACTGCCCTTGTCTTCTCCGCAGCTGTCGCAGCAGCAAAATGCTAACGGCGAAATGTCAGCACAAGCGACAGCTCCGCCGGGGGGACACCGGCGGGGAGGTAGTAACCAGTTGGGGGGGCTGCAGGCACATCTGCCGCACCTCCTGCCCGCGACCACACTGAGTCGACGTGGCAGCATCACCAGCAGCCACGCGAGAAACAGCAGCTACGGCAGCGGGATTAGCTTCAGCGGCAGTAGCGGAAGCAGCGCCAGCGTGAGCGGCGCCAGCGTGAGTGGCATCAGCGGTAGGAGCAGCAACGTGGGGGTACCGGCGTTTTCCCCACCCGTGGTACCAGGCGGACCAATCACCGTCGCCCCCGTCTCTCCTAGTCTGCAATTCGCCAACCCTATCGTTGGCGATGGCCAAACCCCCTCTCTAGGCTCGGTGGCTCCGGTTAGGGTAGCGCCAGTCGAACTGGTGTTACCGAGTTCGCCGGCATCGTCGGCGTCGCCAGCGTGGTCGCCTTCGCCAGCGTCGCCACCAGATGGCGGGTTCATTCCAACTATTCGCAGGGCGATCTCTCTCGCCGTGCAGCGCGCCAAGCCGCAACAGCAGCAGCGGCAGCAGCAGCAGCAGCTACTGGTACAAGCCCATCCCGTGCTTGAGATACCGAGTCGAAATGGGACAGCCACTGCCCTCGCTGCTCACCCACCCGCGGTTAAATTCTCGCCCTCGTCTCGTGCCGTCGCTCTCTCCCATGCGTCAGCGCACCCGACGACCGCAGCCGCAGTTTGTCCCAAGTGCGGCCATACCATGGCCCCCGCGGCTTCTTCCCCCGACGAAGGGCGGGAATCCGCGCAGGGGCGGAAGGACCGGCGGCGCGTGCCGACTGCGGCGGTGGAAGCGGCGGCGATGGCGGCAAAGGCCGCGCAAGCCGCCGCGATGGCCGCAGAGGCTGCTGCTGCCGCCGCGAAGGAGGCTGCTAGCGCTGCCGCTGCTGCCGCCGCTGCGATCGCGGAGGAGACGGACAGTGACTGTTGGGAGAGTTACTGTGTGGGGGAAGAAGTGGGGAAGGGCGCCACAGGAGGAGACGGACGCGACATGGGAGCGCGCGTCCAGGCGGCAGTGACAGGCGGCGGGGGGGACAAGCGCAGCGAAGCGGTAGCTTGCGGGGAAGGCAGGGATACGGGTGATGAGGAAGGGAGAAGATTGGCGGAAGAGAGCGCAGAGACAGTGAGGGCGGAAGAGAGCGCAGAGACAGTGAGGGCGGAAGCAGAGGACGGAGCGGGGGCAGGCACAGTGGGGGACAATGAGGTCGCAACGGCGCGGCAGGGGGAAATGAGTGATGGTGAGGCGGGGACGAGGGCAGGGGGAGAACCAGGCACGGAGGCCGGGGGCCGCGGGCAGAAGGCGCAAGGAAAGTATAAGCGACTGTCGCCCCGGCCCGTGATTGTAGAGAGAAGAGGGTTCTGCGATGCGCGCGCGATACAGTCACCCCCTGGTGCAAGCGCCACCATGGGCAACGAGGAAGAAGGGGCGGAGAGCGGACGTGCGCGCAGCGGAATGGGCCAACTGTCGCCCCAGGAGCGAAGGGGGATGGAGAGGGGGGAGGATGGAGCGGAGGAGAGCAGGGTGGGGCCTGGGGCGATGAACGGTGGAGATGCAACGGATGGCAGCGAGGGTGCGGACGAGATGGCGGCTGGGGATACGGGGGGTCACGAGGAGTGGGAGCAGGCGGAGCAGAAGGGGCCGAGGGAGCAGCGAGCGCCGTTCCCCTCGCCCCATTCCCACGCTGAACCGCGCCTGCACGCTGCACCCCCCGCTGCCAGGCCCTTCGTCGCGTCTTCTCCGCGCGCCCACTCACCCCGGCGCCTGTCGCCCTCGGCGCGATCACCCCATGCCACGTCATCTCCGACGGCCGCAGCCGCAGGCACCCGCGCAGGGACCCGCGCAGACGCCCGCGCTGGCGGCCAGTCGGGGACAGGCAGCAGTGGCAGCGAGGGCGAGGAGTATCACACCCCGCACAGCACCCCTCCCCCGCCCACCGACAGCCTCCCCTCCGCGCTGCAGCGCGCGCAGCAGCTGGCGGGGCTCCCCTTGAGCCCGTCGCTCGAGGCGTACCTTGTTGACGCGCGCGCCGACCACGCTGCGGACGGCTCCTGCGCGGAGCCTCCGGAGGCGCACGACACGGGGGAGAGCAGCGCGGAGTGCGGCGCGGAAAACGGCGAGGACATCCCTCCCGTCGAGGACGGTCCCCTCGCCGCCCCCAGCAGGCCCCCCAAGTCACCCAGGCCAGAGCGCGCGCTCTCCCCCCTCGCTGCGCGGGGCGCGCGCCAGGCACGCGCGCGCCAGGCGCCTGCGCGCTCGCCGCGGTCGCCCAGGACGAGAGCGGTGAAGGACGGTGCGTGGCGGTGCAAGTCCATGCAGGAGGGCTCCTCCAACCCCCCCAGCGCCGCCAGCGCCAGCCGCGCTGGCGCCTCCGGCGGCGCTGCTGCCTCCGCCGCGCGCCCTGCCGCGCGCACACGGTCCTTCCGCGAGCAGTCGCTCCGCGGGACGCTGAGGGGCGCAGGTGGAGGGGGGAGGGTGCTGCGCAAGGCGGGGTCAGAGCCAGAGGAGCGGGGGGGGGCGGGGGAGGGGGGTGGGGTAAGCAGAGGGGGCAGGGGCGCGCGGGGCGGGCAGGCGTGGTCGCAGGCGCGGCCTAAGTCGCCGAGGGAGGCGCTGCGGTCGCCCAGGGCGCGCTCCAAGTCGCCCACCGACGGGCTCAGGTCGCCCAGCGAGGGGCTGCGCTCCCCCCGCGCTGCAAGCAGGTCCCCGCGCCCCCTGCCTTCCCCCAACGCGGGGCTGCCGGGGCGAGACGTGGGCGCGGGGGAGAGGGGCGCGGCGGGGAGGAGCAGGCAGGTGCGGAAGGTGAGCAGCTGGAGTGGCCCTGGAGGGGCGGAGGGCGGAGGAGGGGGAGAGGGGGACGCAGAGGAGACAGGGCGCCGCACAGGCGCAGAGAGCAGGGCAGGGGGAGGGGGAGGAGGAGGAGGAGCGGGGCGGGGAGTGGGGCAGGGCGGGTTGGGGCAGGCGGGATCGGCGTCGTTCTCAGCAGGGGGGGCGCGGGTGGCGGAGTTCATACTGGGGCGCGCATACAGGGACGTGGGGGAGGCGTACGAGGTGGGGGGCGAGCAGCTGGGCGTGGGGCAGTTTGGGGTGATCCGCGCGTGTGTGAGCCGCAGCACGGGGCAGGTGCTGGCGTGCAAGGCAATCGGCAAAGAGCGCATTGTGGTGAGCCATGCACGGGGATGCGTTGGGCTGTGCCTTGTGGCATGGCATGTTGTACGTTGTGCAAGCATTTGGGCGAACGTGTGTGCATGCGTCTGCATGTGTGTAGCATCTGGCATGCGCCATAACATGTTGTGAGCTGTGCATGCATTTGTGGAACTGTGTGTGTCTTCCCATGTGTGTGCATGTCGGTGTATGTGTGAGTGCATTCGAGTGCATTCGAGTGCATTGTGGTTGCATGTGCGTTTTGTGTGCATTCTGGTGAGCTGCGGTGCTGATGCGTTGGGCTGTTGGGCTGCGGCGTGTGGCATGGCATGTGGCATGTGGAATGCGGCATGTGGCATGGGCCATGGCTCTTGTGGACGGTGCATGCGTCTGGGAATGTGTATGTCTTTCTATGCTGTGCATGCGTGGCATGTGCGTGCATGTGAGTGCATGTGCGTGCATGTGTGTGCATGTGCGTGGATGTGTGTGCATGTGTGTGTATTTGGATGCATGTGTGTGCATGTGTGTGTATTTGGATCCATCCATCCCCATCCCCATCCATCCCCACCTCATCTTGCCAGGCGCAGGAGGATGCGGAGGACGTGGCGAAGGAGGTGCGCGTGATGCAGCAGCTGAGGGGCCACCCACACATCGTCAAGATCCACCGCGCCATGGAAGACTCCCAGGTAAGGGTGGGGAGGAGGAACAGGCAGGTGGGTGGAGGGGGGAGTAGCCAGGTTGGGAGGAGGATGGGGGGAGGGTCGAGGGGAGAGGCAGATGCAGCAGCTGCGCGGCCACCCGCACATCGTCAAGATCCACCCGCACATCGTCAAGATCCACCGCGCCATGGAGGACACCCAGGTGAGGGGAGAGGCGGGTTCGGGGTGGCAGGTAGGCGGGGGGGAGTCAATGGCTGGGCATGAGGGAGGTGGGCATGAGGCAGTTAGGCAGTGTGGTGGTTGGCGTGTCAATGGCTGGGAGCTGGTGTGGTGAGGGGGCAGTAAGGCATGGTGGAGGGAGGGCATGGTGGACAGCACACACCACCACTGGCACTGCCATGCCACCTCATCTCTCACCCTTGCCACTGCCACCTCCCCTCAGCATTCCCTGCCCATCTCTCCAATTCACATCCCTAAACCTTTCGACATCTCCGCCTCCTTCCGTCTCCACCCTCGTCCCGCTCCCCCAGCACGTGCACATCATAATGGAGATCTGTCGGGGCGGTGATCTCTTCGACCGCGTCAAGGTGGGCGGCAGACTGAGCGAGCGCAGTGCAGCGGCCATCACTATGCGGCTGGTGGAGGCGCTGCTGTGGTGCCACGAGAAGGGCGTGGTGCACCGTGATGTGAAGCTGGAGAACATTCTGCTCAAGCAGCGCGGGCATGACACCGACATCCGCCTCACTGACTTCGGCATGGCTGCTGAGGTCCACCCAGGTACTGCCTGTTCCAGTATCATGCACCCTGTGCCCATGTGCTGCCCCTTCCTTCTTTTGCCCACGTGCTGCCCCTTCCTTCCTCCACTGCCCTCTGCCCTGTGCACTGTGCCCTGTGCCCCGTGCCCCGTGCGTGCCCCGTGCCCCGTGCCCTGTGCCCTGTGCCCTGTGCCCTGTGCCCCGTGCCCCGTGCCCCGTGCCCCGTGCCCTGTGCCCCGTGCCCCGTGCCCTGTGCCCTGTGCCCCGTGCCCTTACCCGATGCACCTGATGTTGCTCCATGGGTCTTCTTTGACCCCTGTTTGCACTGGATGCAGTAGCACATTGGAGCCTTCTTGCTTCTCTGTTCCGTGTTGTCTCTCGAGACATCGCACGCCTGTGGACACCCTTCGCCATCACTCTTCCTTTCCTCACCAACACGCACATGCGTGGTTGCACCGTGCCGCACCCATGCCTCTCATTCCCCACCAGCACCAGCTGCTCAAACACCCATGCGATACCGGACACCACAATAGCCAATCCCATGCGTCCATCCACCCCTCACACCCCCCTTCTCACTCCCCCCTCTCCTCCCCCTCCCCCCAGGCGAGGTGCTAACGGAGCTGATAGGCACGCCGTACTACATGGCGCCCGAGGTGCTGGCGGGCTCGTACGGGTCGGAAGCAGACATCTGGAGTGCGGGCGTGGTGCTCTACATCCTGCTGTGCGGCCTGCCGCCCTTCTATGCCGCCAGCAATGAGGGCATATTCGACGCCATTCGCAGCAAGGACGTGCAGTTCAAGGCGCCCAAGTGGCACGGCGTGAGCGGCGCTGCCAAACTGCTGATCAGCAGCATGCTCGAGAAAAACCCGCGCGAGCGCATCACAGGAGAAGAGGTCCTTGGTGAGTGATTGAGTTCTTAATGGAGATTTGGTCAATTGTGTGCAGTACCTCTGTTTTTTTCATGCCAGAGGTTTTTGTCTTTTGACAGGGGCTTTCAATGGTGGCTAAGATATGATTGTGTGTGGTCTCTGTGTGCGCATTGGCAGAGCATCCTTGGATTAAGGCACATGCGTTTGATGACTAACCTAACATCGCCCACCGGGCCACTGTACATACGTACGGTTCCGTAAGTTGCTTCCAGTGATACCCGTGGCCATGACGTTGCTTTGAAGAATGGGAGCTGCGAAATGACCAGGTGGCCAGGCCGCCCTAAGTGCTTGCACATGGTTTGCAAGCTGCAATGTGCAGCTACTTCCCGTACGCATAAATACTCCAACGATATGTTACATTACATCTCTTTCCCCAACAGAGTACCGACATTACCAGATCAGTCATTTTGGTACTGCCAATCTATTTTTGCAAGTGTAAATCAATTTTCATTCCTAACTGGGTTTATGCTACATCATATACTCCACAATCCAAACTTCCATAATGTTACGAGTGCAATTGAGTGAGCGAGTGAGGATTGCACTATCGAGACAAGAGTCCAATGAGCGAAGGATTGAGCGAAGAATATATAGCGAAGCTACAGTGGTAACGGTAACGTGTGGAAAATGGGGTGCGCTACGGCCTAGCGCCGAGGTTGGGGATTGTCGAGGCGGAGGTCCGGAGCGCGGGTTACCAACCGAACCGTGAGGTTGGGTCGCGTCGTGAACAGTGGCGGGAATAGTGTCGAGGCGAATGTCGCAAGTGGTAACGGATTATTGTGGGGTGCTGTTAGCGGGAAACACTGGTGTACGCGCTGAGCAGGGACGCGAAGTAAGGAAAAGGAATTTTCCTTACACTACCCCCCCCCCCCCCCCACCCCCCCCCCCCCCCCTAAGGAGGCCCTTCTTACGAAAGCACGTGTACATCCCGGAAATTCCGGCTGCGCAGATACTCGGTGAGGACGGGGTGGTTTTCGATTCTGTCCAGGGGAACCCAATTGTCTTCGGTGGGCGTGCGGTCTTTCCAGCGGATCAGAAATTCGACCCTTCGAGCTCCCCGTGGGTCACGAACTCGGTGGCTCATAATATTTTCGGGCGTGATGATTGGTTCTGTCGGCGGTCGTGTCATGCTGGCTGGGCGGTTGCGGGGTAGTTGGCTGGTGGATGGTACGTAAGGGCGAAGCAGGCTGACATGGAAGGACGGGTTGACGTACCAGTCAGCAGGGAGGAGGAGGTGGGCGGTGACAGGTGTGATCATGTGGCTGATGCGAAATGGCCCGCAATATCGTGGGCGGAGTTTCGGGGTTATGGGCAGGCGGAGGTTTTGAGTGTCGAGTAAAGCTAGGTCGTCGGGCTGGTAAGTGATAGGTCTGCGGTGGCGGTCGGCGTTGCGCTTAGCGATGACGTTGGCTTTTTTAATTGCATCAACTGCCCGGGTTCGTGCTGCTTGTAAGATTTCTGCGAACTGTTGCGCACGTGGTACTGGGTTGTCGGGATTTGGGGTCATGGGTACTGTAGGGTCTTGTCCGTAGTTCAGGTAAAATGGTGACTGTTGGGTCGTGGCGGATGGCGAATTGTTGTACGCGAATTCGATGAGTGGCAGCTGCTGTTCCCAGGTGGTCGGATCGTCGCACGTGGTTTGGATGAGTTGCTCCATGGTCTGATTTGTCCGTTCTGTCTGTCCGTCGGTTTCGGGGTGGTACGAAGAATTAAAATGTAGTCTCGTGACGAACTGCTGCCACAGGTTCCGCCAGAAGTTGCTGGTGAATTTCGTGTCGCGGTCGCTGATGATTGCTGCTGGTAACCCGTGTAGTCGAACGATGGTGGAGATGAAGAGGCGGGCTGTTTCTTCGGCTGTGATTGATTTCTCGCAGGCTGCGAAATGTGCCATTTTCGCCAGCAGATCGACGACGACCAGGATCGCGTCGTTCCCACTTGCTTCGGCCGGTAACCCCGTGACGAAGTCCATCCTCACCTGAAGCACGCTCTGGGGGTGGTATCGGGTGCAACTGTCATGCCGACCGCTTCCGTAATGATTTCATGAGTTGGCAGGTGGGACACGATGCCACGTGTCGTTGCACGTCGGTCAGCATTTCGGGCCAGTAATAATACCGCTGCAGCTGCTGCCGTGTTTTTTCTACTCCGAAATGTCATGAGGTAACTCCGTCGTGTGCCTCCTGTAGCAGTAATTCCCGTTGTAACGTGTAGCCCAGTACCCAGATTCGGTCGGTGCCGGCTTTTACATAATAGACTCCCTTTGCTGCTGCGAACTGCTGCAAATTTCCTCCTGTGAAGAATGGGCCAGTCTGATAGCCGTAGGTAAATAGTCCTGTCAGTAGTGGGCTGGTCTGGGCGAGTAGTATGGCGTGGATTTGGGCCGTGGGGTGTGAGAATTGAGGAATGAATGATTGAATAGAAAATGAGTTGGGTACAAATATGAAACCCTAAGAGATTGTACCCCACAGTGTCTACCCCACTACAGCCTAAACATGCTATGTGATTAATGTTCGACACACCCCCATAGGCAAAGTGGGGGAGAACAAGGGGTCACAAGACCAGTCAAGCAAAGCAAAACAAAGCAAGCTCAGGGTGGATCACAACGTCACCACACATTCCGAGCACAGGTTCAAAGGCCACAAGGCCAATTCACATGCAGGATTATATATAAAAGGTAAACAAGCAAGTGCAGGTATATATATAGATCACAGTACAGGTAAAGTCAAGAGGTAAGCAAGTGAGGCAAAGTAGGCACAAGACCTAGCATAGTACAGAAGCGCTGATGATCACAAGGCTGAAGTGCCTTGGTGAAGATATCAGCAGTGTTGGCCTGGGAGGCCACGTAAGCAAGACGCAGCTGACCACGCTGCTGCAGCTCACGAGCAAGGAAGTAGGGAAGAGCAATGTGCTTCGTTCTGTGCTCCAGTCTGTGCTCCCGACACAAGGCCAGCATGGCCTTGTTGTCTACGTACAGAACCGGAGGAGAATGAGGCGGCTCACCGAGGTCAGTCAGCAGGTAGGTGAGCCAGCGTAGCTCCTGTGCAGCCATGGCCCCTGCGTAGATCTCAGCCTCACAGCTGGAGCTGAGAACAGAAGACGAGCGAGTAGACCGCCACGAAACAGAGCCGGAACCAAGGCTGAAGGTGTAACCCTGTGACGACCGCTGCGTAGCCAGGTCGTCAACCCAAGACGCGTCTGCGTGACCAGTGAGGACCACTGGACTCCGCCCTCCAAGCACTAGCCCCATGCCCGACGTACTGCACAAGTAGCGCAACACCCTCTTCGCTGCAGCCATGTGCTCTGGTCGGTGTCTCCCAGGAGCAACATAGCGTGCCAAGATGCTAAGAGGGTATGCCAGGTCAGGTCGAGTGCAGGTCATCAGGTACATGAGGCAGCCAACAAGCTCTGGGTACGGGCCACTCGGCTCTACGGACTCATCCGAAGGCAGAGCTGAGAGCGAGTGGCGAGTAGACAGAGGAGTGGCCTGAGGCGAGGAGTACGTGAAGTCGAAGCGCTGAAGGACCTGCTGCACCATGTGTGACTGAGTCAGGGTAATGGTGCGCCGTGCTCTGTCCCGAGTGATCTGCAAGCCAAGATAGCTGCGCAGTTCACCCAGGTCTGTACACGTGTGTCTCTTCTGCAGCTCGGACTTCACGTGGGCGAGTCTAGCAGTGTCAGCCGTAGCAAACACCAAGTTGTCGACGTACACGAGGATGTAGAACGGCGGCAGCAAAGTGTCGGTGCGAAGAAACAGCGACGGGTCAGCAGTGGAAGGAGCAAACCCAAGAGCCGCAAGCGTAGTCCTCAGTGTGTTGTGCCACTCACGGGGCGCCTGGCGGAGACCGTAGACTGGCCGCCGGAGGCTCCACTGGGTACCTGCAGGAAACGACCCAGTGAAGCCAGGTGGGCGGCGCAGCCAGATCTCCTCGTGCAGGCTGCCCTGTAGGAAAGCAGTGCTGAAGTCAAGGGAGTGAAGCTCGTAGTCACGCTGAGCAGCGACGTGCAGCAGAACCCGAAGAGTGGTCATCTTCGGGGTCGGGGAGAAGGTCTGAAAGTAGTCAACTCCCTGCCGCTGACTGAAGCCTCGAGCCACGTAACGCGCCTTGAAGACAGGCGGAGAACCCGGCGGCCGCTTCACCCTGAAAATCCACATGCCACTGACGATGTTCGCCCCAGGTGGGGGAACCTCGTCGACGTAGGTGCCTGTGGACTTCCAGGAAGCCATCTCTACATCCATGGCTGCCTGCCACTGAGAGGAGTAGGGACCCTCTATCGCCTCTGCGTAAGAGCGCGGGGTCGGGATGTCTGGTGCATCCGGGTCTCCCTCGGGGGCAAGCAGCGTGGACACGAGATGAGGTAAAGCAGCAGCAAAACACTGGAACTCCTCCTGTCTGTCCTCAAGGACGTCCGTGCTAAGAGCACACTCACCCTCGACGGACGGAGGACAGACAGACGCAGACTCAGCAACAAGACTAGCGGCGTAGTCTAGACGACAGTGAGCAGCGAAGTCGACAAGCTCGGCAACTAAGGCAGACGCAGTAGTGGACTCAAAGGAAGGGTCAGTGACAACAGTGGCTAGGAAACGCGTGACAGTAGGACTGGCAGCACGAAGGGAGTCAGACTCCGGGTCAGCAAGAGCAGGAAGAGAGGACGCTGGAGGAGACGGCAAAGGGACACGCTGTGACGCAGTGGAAGGACGCAGTGCCATCTGATGCGTGCCCGGGACCGCAGGAGGACGCTGACGTGGAACACAACGACCAGTGCAAGCAGTACGAACAGGCGACGCAGGACGCGACTCAGGGTCACGACGCTCAGCAAGACCTCCAGTAGGACCAGCGTAGGGAGAAGGAGCAGGAAGAGGGGAGGCCAGCTGTAACTGTGACTCGGACTGGACAGGCGGTGGACACTCTAAGGAAGGAGCAGGACAAGAAGAAGGCGGAAGACCAAGAACCTGCTCAAGGAGCGGAACGAAGAACGGCCGCGGCCGCGCAGCTCCTCCAGAACAAGCAGGGACAGCACCAGCACCCCCAGCGTCAGCTCCAACTCCAGCAGCACCACCAGCACCAGGAGCACCCCCAGCAGCTCCAGTACCTCCAGAAGCACCGACTCCAGCAGCACGGCCAGCTCCAGCTCCACCAGGAGCTCCAGCACCAGTAGCACC